CTGCATGTGAATCACAGGTGGAAAAGGTGATCGGTGGATTGGTTGAGGACCCTTTGTCCAGGGGTGGACACACACACATATATATATATATATATCTTTTTTCTTTACTCGTCTCTTTTCCTCAGCGCTTCATGCTAGAAGTCGATTTTGACTGGCTGCTTCGTCCGGAAAAGAACCGGCAAAGCCATCTGGACGCCTTGCCGCGGACAGCTCTTTTTGAGTCGTGCTGACGCGCTGTAGCCCTGCTCGCCGCAGAGCGCATGGCCACCACAAAGTGTGCACGCCACCTTGTTGCCTTTCCTCCAGAGTTTGTGGGACAAGCGACCTTGCCATGCCAACGGAGGTTGCCATTCAGCACTCCAACAAGTTTTCCGAGCAAAAAATGGCCAGCTTGTCCATGGAACTATGCCGCAAGATCATCTGGCCACATCGTTTGCAAGCAACATAGTTTTTCTTAATCTCCAAGTCATGCCCTCCAAAATCAGGAAAACTTCCGTTCAGCAGTTGCTGTATCATGTCTGCCTTGCTGCCACCTTCTGCTTCTGACCCTCCTTTGGGAAGAGGTTTGCCAACCAGTGGACAGGCCTCTGTTCTGTATTGCAGGAGCTGTTCATACCTGCATGTTTGCCCTACAATGACACCCAGAACATTGCAGATGAGAGCTTGGGTATTCATTGGTGCCAGAGGGGATGGTTCTATGGGCTGAGGATTGCTGGTCATTTTGTTGCTTTGGCTGAAGATGTTCGCATTCATGTCATGTCGACTCAAGCTTTCGAGGCGTGTAGCAGAGCAGACAACGTCATGGGAGCACTTTTTGGGATTTGAGCTGCTTGGTGACAACAGAAGGCGGTCCAAGATTAGGCCGATCTATATTTCCCAAAAGCAACTGTGAGAAATTCCTCAGGGCGGATGGCCCCTTCGAAGTCGCATGAATGATGCATGCAAGGTTGCAAAGGAGAGAGCTTATGCCATGCAGCCTATGGAGCTGGAAGCTGAATTGAGACAGCAGGATGCCAAATACAGGGCAGTTGCAGTTGAAACAATTTCCAGAATCCAACATGTTCTGGTTAAGGCCATTTCACGAGGCAGGCGCGTGAGCCTGCGAAAGAGCAAAGAAAGTCTGCGCGCCAGAGGAAGAAGGTAGCTACCGGGTAGCTTATGCGGCGTTGCTTGGACCTGAGGTTGCTGGAAGGTCTAGCGGGGCCAGCGCCCTCCGAACAAAAAACCACCGTACTGTCACAGGGGAAAAGGGGAAGGAAAGGGAGGGAGGAGCCAAAAGAAGGAAGGACAGCGTGGCGGGCACAACGGGGCAAGAAGCAGAAGACAGGTGTACTTGAGGGTAGAGGAGACCCGTCTTTGGACCAGGACTGAAGGCAACAGAAGTGGAGACCTCCCCACGCGGGTCAGACTGAGGAGGGGACCCCAACGAACAAGAACAAGGAGGAAGGGGTCGAAACCCCCAACCGTCCCCAAGTCCTGTCCGAAGGCGGTGGTGGCTGCCGCACTACAAACTTGAAAAGCGCCCCAAGATGACTCTGCGAGTGCACCCTCCGTAGAGGGCATGGCTTCGCCTCCCACTAACAACGATTTAGAAACTTAAACAAAAAGAAAGGGGAGTTGCCTGAGGACCAGCCTAGCGAGGCTTGCCACCGCGAGGTCCGGCAACTATTTCTTCTGAGCCAGCCAAATCAACCACAGCAGCCAAAAAACTAGAAGCGTCATCTTGCACACTGTCATCGAACTCATTCCACAAAGGCCGCAAAGAGGCCAGGTGGGTGATGTCTACCGCCTCTTCCTCAGCCAAAGCTGCCTGCGCAGCCCCGCTTGTGCGCTTCCAGAGTTTTGTGCTACTAATGAAAACACCTGCCCAACTCCAGAGTCTCAAGGGAGAGTTGGCGAAACATCTGTTCCGCGGGTTTCCCAACCTGCGTTGTAAATTCTGCGCAAAGTAGGCCAAGGCCTGCCGATCCCAAAACCGAAAAATATTTGTGCCAGTACCATCATCTTCTAGCAAATCCACGATCATGCCGCCCTTGATAGACACTAAGGAGATCCCTGGGGAATTCCAGGGCTGCCCAAAAACTTGTCCACCAGCCCAGTCACCACCATCCATTCCCTGTGCCCCATCACTGGCAGTAGCCGCTGGAGACTGTTCTGAGCCTAGAATAGGATGGAATCTTGCATCAACTTCCTCTTGATGCCCAAGCACTTGCAAAAAGCCGATTGCCGCTGACCATCCCCCGAAACTTCATCAAATGAAGCTGACGCCTGCCATGGTGCCACTACCTGAGCAGTGTTGCCCACACTTTCTTTTTCTGGCTGCTGATTCGGCCAGCTGCTTTGAAAAGGCCTTCAACTGTTCCTCATTGCGGACCAGGCCTATGCTATGGAAAGTGCCATTCAGCTTCTCTTCGGTGAGTTCGCCTTCTTCGATTTCAATCTTCTTTTCCTTCTCCAGCACCAGGCTGGTCAAAAGCATGCGAAGGAAATCGAAGAGGATGAGCCTGAAGAGAGGCGAAGGGGTCGAGCACTGTTGCCCCAAAGTCACTATATGAACTGGCAGGCTTCAGGGTCAAATCCTTCTGAGAGTGGCACCATGCGGTACATGGGTTGGTGATATTTGTTGTTGGGCATCGCCTGCTTTGACTAAACTAAACCATTATTTCACCCCCACCCATGCGTTGGCCTCTCAGACACCCAAACATGCCCCCATGTTTTGACTGAAGCTGATCGGCTTGGACTGAGGACGCGAGCCTATCCGACTCTTTTAGCGTCCCTTTTGTTTCTTTTTCCCATCGGAAGAGTTGTCACCCAAAAGATTCGAGTAGAGACTTCTAGAAAAGGTAAATTCCGTATGTCCTGGCAAAGCACTGAGATTAATAACCCGATACCCGTTTTATCGCAAACCATGTTCTTCTGACTGTTCCAGGCTCCCAAGTCGCCCGTTCCTTGCTATACGCGCCCCGTCAGACAATGGTGGGCCGACCCTTCGCTTGCACTTGGAGTTGGAGCACGGCTTCAGCTCTTGGTCTCTATATATACGGGTCCTGTGCGCGAAATGAAAACACAAATGATTGGAAGAGCGTGGCAAAGCCACCGAGATTGATGACTGGCGTGATGAAAGAAAGGCTTCCAGTGCTTTCACACACGGCGTATAACATACATAACATATTGTCTCTCTCCACACAAAGGTCACCACACACACACACACACACCGTAACCTCCAAGTCGGTAAGGATGGAGGCTCCGAACCCTTGGCCTGACCATGTGATCCAGATGTTCGAATCTGTGCGTAACATGGCAGGGATGCGGTTGCAAAGGATGATAGCTGATTTTGTCATATTTTTTCTCACCTGCTCTGCTGAGCTTGAGGTCAGAGAGTCAATTCCACTTGCTTTGCGGCTTTTCGCAGATCCCAGACAAGCTGAAGGCCGGTTCGAAGTTAGGGCATCAAAATACATCCCTGGTCTGTTTCAAGCATTTCGAACCGAGGCCTGTCATGATCTTCTAGTGTGGTAGGATCGGAGGTGGCGCGAGGAAAATCCTATTCCACGCTTGGTATTGCAGGTATGATGCAAGTTGTAAGACTCGGTGTGCTGCTGCAGCTCTTTCTGTGCTTCTTCGATCTTGCCTTGAAGCTCTTCGAGTTCTGTCAACAAAGCCCCATACTGCTGCTTGACAACATCTGCCTTGGCCTGCAACGAACTCTTCTTGGTGGAGAGTTGCTTCAAGACCCCAACAGCGTTCGTGAACTTTGTGGCAGCTGTGGGCTCCGGCTTTGCCGGCTCGATGACCTTCTCCACTGCTTGATTCACCTCCGGAGGCAGGCTCTGCAGGTGCTCCTGCACAAGAGATGGAAGATCCGGCAACGGGGGCTCTTCAGAAGCCAGGCCAAGCAGCTGGCAACTCCTTCCAATGCTCTTGGAGCGCTTGGTGCAAGTGCACCGTGCAAGGCCGGAACTTTCTTGGTCTTAAGTTCTTCCTTTTCTGAACCTCACTAGCTCCACCAGTCAAACCAGGTGGTGGGTCAAGCAAGGTTTGCTTGAAGGACTTCTTTGGCCACTGAACACTTGTAAGGTGCCCACTGGACTGGCTTTGATTCCTTCTGCCACAGTTCTCCGCAATGGAGGCAGCGCAAACGAGGCCTTCCCACCAGTCTGTCTCCTGTTTGCAGGCTGAACAAACCAAATTCTGTCCTCGCATTGGCAAAGAAGCCTTCGTGCTCTACGATCTTGCCTTACTCAAACGGTATGAGGCTGCTCGATGTCAACGATCCACTTCCGGGCTTGAGCTGAAATGGCTTGGTATTTTTTTGTATATATACATATATATATATATATATTATTTTTTTTAAAAAATATATATACTGTGTATATTAATATATGTATGTATGTGTATATCTATGTATATATATATATAGATAGATATTCATTTTCACCAAACAGTCTACTGTTGGGGTTCTATCTTAGACAAAAGAGCTGGCCACACTCACTGGCCGCGCCTCTGAACTCTGTGGCTGGGCTCTGTGGCCCGGCTCTGTGTCCGGGCCTTGTCCTCCTCTTGTCCTTGTCTTGGGCGCGCCTGAACTCTGTGGCTGCACCGTGCGTGGCCCGGCTCTGTGCCCGGCGCTCGTAAACACTCTCCACAATCACGCCGGAAGGGGATGTGCCCGCACACAATGTGCTCACATTCTCCATCACGAAGTGCACGAAGTTGCGCCTTTTGCTCGGCAGTTCTACGCGCCCACGAGTCCACCAGTTTCCATTTGAGTCCAGGGGCCCATGCTGCTAGCTGCTTTGAGCAATTGACCGCTTCTGCAAGGTCCTGAGGCCATGGTTCAGAGCTCCTGTCATCCTTCATGCCATGGACGGCCACAATCTCCACCACAAACATGTCGGCTTTCGAAGCTCATGGCCAAGTGCTCCTTGATCCACAGCAATCTTCCGAAGTTGAAGGTCTCTTTGCAAGACTGTCTCCAGCTCGGGCCAATTAGTGAAAGTAAGGTTCGATGTCGGGCTTGTAGGATGCCGGATCCTGTGGAGTTTCCAGCATGTGCTCCACATCTCCATCTCCAGCGCTCTCACAGACCTCCGCCAGAACCGGGTCCTCAACTAGAGTTGGGAGTCCATGTCCACCAGCACCTGTTCGTGAGGTTTCAACACGCCACATCTGCCCTCACCAACGCGATCACGAACTCTTCGGTCCGCCATCTTCCCGAAGCCTGAGAGCTGACACAGTCCTGCACGGTGGACCTGCAAGGAACGATTTCACATTTTCCGGACCTCGCCACTGCAGTCAGGTATGCGAACACGTTGTCGTCAAGGATGTCCTGGTGCTGAAGCATGTCCACTGACAGGATCACCCAGCCCTTTGGCAGTTTGTCCTCCCACCATGACGGATTTGCTCCTGCAAAAGATAGAGAACTGCTCGGCCGTCCTTCTCATCCGCCGATTCCATGGAAGTGCTGCGCTGCCAACTTTCTTGCGCATGGTGAGTTTGGCAATATGCTTCAACGGCGCCAGACGGAACTTGTTCTTAAGGACTTTTGGATCTATCAGCCATTCATGTCCATGTTCCTCCTCCCCCGTTGCCAGTGCCTTCAACACACTCCGAACCTGGAGACTCTTTCCCTCCAAGCATGCCATCAACTTCTCCCCGTCCTCCAGTGAGATGTAGGGACAGTTGGCCACCACGTTGACATTCAGAATGCCCGCATGAGGATGCCTCAGGCGACGCTGCCCAGGTTTCCAATCAATGGTGCCACCTTGCCTCACCACTTCTCCAAGCGGGATAATGGGCGCCGCTTCATCCTTCGACAGGAGCGCTCCGCTTTCAGTCTGTTTGAGGACACACTCTCCTGTTGCAGTGTGCACTATGGTTTCATGAGCGCCCATCCATTCTTCTTCCGATCGAAGAGCCCTCAAGATGTGGGTTGCACCTGGGTCCAGCAGCACTCCCTCTGCCTCACGATTGACTTTCGCAATTGCTGCAGGTGTTTCAGATGAGGCTGCGCCAGCTGTTCCATCCGTCTTGTTGATCTGAGGTTTGCCTTTGCCTCCATTGCCCTTGGACTTGCCCTTCGGGTTCTCCTTGAGATTTTCTTTCTTGCCATCTCCTCTACCCTTGTCAGCTTTGTCCACCAAGGCCGGACAGACATTTTTTCGATGTTCCAGGCTCGAACACTCCCAACACCTCGATGTCTTGTCTTCCAACCCCTCCCAGGAATGGCCAAACTTGCACCGAGCGCCAGGTGAGCAGCCTGAAGATGTTGCCCAAAACTTGCATGGTTTTGCTCCCACTGCGGATGGCTGAGTCGACGGGGTTTGCAACTGTTTCACCTTCACATCACTGCCATCCTTTGCTCCTGTGCTCGAGGTCAACGAGATCGTTGCCATCTCCGCCTGCAACAGGAGTGATTCACGATGCTTTGAGTGGGCTTCCCGTCCAGCCCTTGCTGATGTCTCCATGTTTGGATGCGAAACGACACCTGCGCTTCCCTTTGACAACAGCATCCAGGTGCACTTGCAGGACTGGATCTGGAAGGGTGACGCCAAGCTCTCCTGCACGAGTGACATTCCTATGCCATGCGAGAAGTTTCTCTATGGCATCTGGAGCATTGGTGGCCGGCGCCGGTGACTGCAAACTCTTGAGTTCACCTGCCGTGAGTTTGCGATGGAATCGCAGCAAGGAGCATAGATGCCACCCGACTCTCCAGCCTTGAAGCGTTAGCGCCTCGATCTCGACAGTGAGCCTCGTCAGAGCATCTGACGCTAGCCAACGCTTGTACACCTGACCCACATGCTCCATCAGTTGATTCCACCACGAGCCAGCAAAGGAGCTCACATCATGGACCAGTGGAGTGATTTCCGCAATCCAGTCCCACACTTCCATGCCGCTTGATGAGAGCCTTCATCAGGTAGCCGCGGCAAAACGACTGACACGGTCCGCAAGTCATTCTTCTGGATTGGTTCCCCAGTGCTCGCTCCACACCCTGCATCAGGAGGACTTGGCGGCGGTGGAGGCATGGAAGCATTGTTCTCTTCGATGTCCTTCTTTATGGCATTGCCCCACAATCCATTGGCTTGCTGCTGCAGTGATGCACAACGCTTTTGATGTCGCAGTTCCTGGCCAGCTTGCCCTTCAGCTCCAGCAACTCTCGCTCAAGCCACTGAAGTCGCACCTGCTGGAAATTTCCACCCCCTGGTTCGTGACCTTCACCATGAGCTTGTTCCTTCTGGCTCACTTCAGAGATCACTCCCCAACTTGTTTGGTCACTCTTGGGTTGCGCGGGATCAGACTTCCCACCTCCCATGTGTCCTTCATGTAGGGCTCGAGCATGAAAGGCAGATGGTGGAAGAGCTCCATAAGCAAAATGAACTGCTTCGTCAGGAACTGGATGAGATGAAGCGCGCACGATCGAAGACGCCAGTACCTGTGGAGCGAACACCAAATCCAAAGACACCAACTACGGTGATGTTCACACCCTTGGAACCCCCTGTCGAACCTTGTCGAAGCACACCCGGAGGAACTCAAGTGCCACCTGGTACACCTCCGAATGAACAGGGTGGAAAGATGCATGATCTTCCTGATCTACCTCCATGGCTGTGGGCTAAGCACGCGGGAAAACGACCTCACGCTGAAAGTGTGTGGGCACCTCCGCAACATGGACATCGTGAACTACAAGGTCAACATCGTGAAGTATTTGAACTACATGATCTCGTGGTGGGCTGATGCCTGACGGAGGGAAAAGCCTTCATCCAGGTGTATGTGGTGGCGGGGTGACCCGACATGACCATGCCCTACCGTGGGGTCTATTTCAGGGTGCTTGTGAAGACGGCTGGAGCCGACAAAGGCACGCTGCAAGCTCCCATCGCAATCTGGCACTTCACGACATCCCTCATCGCCTCTCGACCACGATGCCTTCGTCCATGGAGCTTGACATTTGCTCAATGGTGCAGGCGGTCTTGGTGTTCATCTTCAGTTGTCGGCCATCCAGGTTATACGGAGACGCCTTGTTGGACACTGTCTCTTGCAGCTTGCGTCCAATGATCACCCCGATCTCGGCTTGCCTCACCCTCGATGTCCTTCGGCTCGAGCGCACCATCTCCGTGCTCTTCTCGCCGTCGATCACGCTGTCAGCTTCCACGGTCTCCTCTTCTCCTGCATCGAGGTCCAAGAGGTCAAACAGTCCATGGCCAGCTGATTGGAGTTCTTCCGAAGATGCACCTCGGTCTGACTCATCCGGTACCATTGGCAGGTCCTTAGGTCGAGCATTTCGAAGCCGTGCTTCCTGCTGGAGCTCCTGGGGCCAAAAAGGGTTGATGTTGGCCATGGGGACCAACAACTCACACAAGTGAGGTGGACTTGCTACAGCCACAAGCCACCTGTGCAGATTGGGCTCATAACCTGCGTTAGCAGGAGCTGCGCGCCTATTTTCTGCTGCTAAAAAGGGTCTTCGGTGGACAGTGGTCATGTCCAAGTGTTTACAGTGATCATGTTGATCATGTGCTCATGTCAAAACAAGAGTGGTTTCCATAGGATGTCCCCATGATGCCGTTTTAAAAATGTTTGGGGTCTATGCTGGTATAACTTTTTGAATGTCTGTGTGGGTGCCCAAAAACCACATGTGCGACATTGTGCCCGTGTGGTGTTTTTTGGTGGAACGTCCCTCCCACCCTTCACCCACTGAACCTTCGCTGGGTCTAGACAGGTGGAACTCCGCTGGGAGACACAGAAGGGCGTCGTTCCCATCACAGCCACTTGTACCAAGGCGCGGGGCTCGGTGACCTCCCAGTGGTGACCGGCGGTCCGGGAGACGGGTAAGTCGCACGAGCGTGTTCAAAGGAGGTGGGAAGGGAAGAGGGCAACAAACCTGCCGGCTGGAGCAAGAGAGGCCGAAACATCATGGGTGTTGAGCCTTTCGCACCAAATCGCTCATGTTCCCAAGCCAGCCATGCCATCCAGTTCGGAGGTCTTTGGAGATCCATCTCCCCCACCAGGGTCCGGCAAGCCGGGTCCGTTGCCCGGTCCGACGACGGTCGTCGTCGTGCGTGACGGGTGGCGGTGGCCGCGAGGCGCACGTGCTGGGTGACCTGGACATCTTCAACTTCACCCTATCGGCCCAGGTCACGGCGGTCGTTGGGGGGGGTCACAGTCACGGTCATCCAAAGAGGTCGGTGAAGAAGCATCACATCACTGGTGAAGTGAGCGGAAAAGGAGGTCGCAGCAGGCTTTTTGGCCTAAGAATGAAGGGGGATCAGTGAACTGAAAATGCACACGCCACTGGTATGTTTGGTGCCATGTTCTATCTATCTTTTTTGTGGCACCCCTTGTGGTTGATGACTTTTTGGTGCCCACCTTGCCCTGGGGTTTGTCGACGTCCCCCATATGTAGACAGAACGATGAAAGTTGGTCCGATGCGTTTTGGCCGCTTTTTTGGTGTGGGTTTTTGATGCTCCACATGATGAGGACATGGAATACTTGGACAGATTGATGCCCACGGAGATGGAGGAGTATGCGTGAGACATGAGCAGAGGAGCAGAGCTGAAGCACCGTGAGAATGCGATGTTGAGACAGCTAAACCAGCTAAGCTCACTCGCGAGACCGCTGGAGGACAGGCGTCACAGACCGTTACAGCGAAAAGACTTCTGGGGGTTGGAGGATTGGAGAATCATCTGAGAGGCTCTGGTTTCAGGATGTTTCAGGTGAGAACTTTCAGTCTCACCACCAGACCTGACACAGACCAACCAGATCCAGAGCATTGCCACAAGAGAGGTGGGTTGGTTGTGTGAAGTTGTGGTGTTTTAGACGTTTGGACAGATATGACTTGCCGACAAACGAAAACATCCAGACTTGTTGGACTTGCCTGGTCTAGTGGCCTCCACTGATCGGGAGTGCACCCGTTTCTGCGCACGTTCAGGTGGTGGCCGGGTACGTGGAAGTCTGTCCTGGAGAAGGGCCGCGCTACGGAGAGGGCAATTGAAGGGCCTCGGATCCGGCAACAGACACAAGTGGGAGTGACCCGAGCACCAAACAGAAATGGGGGGCTACAGCAGTTAGTCAACACACTAGATACTGGTAGAAATGGTAGAATCTTGAATCCCCTTACTCTTAGTGTCTGAGTGTATAACTTAATAGCCTTAGTCTTAGTCTTTGATATCCAATCAGCATCACTGAATCAGAATCCCCTTAGTGTATATATAGTCTTAGTCTTAGTGATTGGATATCATTGCACCAATCATTTCTATTAGGTCAGGTCTATGAAAGAACATGTGATCGACGAGAGCCTTCCGACAATCGACGTGCAGACCTCGGGCCTGTTGGCTTTGACCAGCCCTGGTTCCAGCCCTATTGTCTTCATGTCTTTGGCTACTGGGGGGTGGCAGAACCAGCCACACCCAAGCAGATCAGTCTACCCACTTGGCGTCGCGATGCAAAAGAGATTCTTTGAGGGAAAGACATGGAAAGACACAGCGGCGCAGAGTGGCAGAGGCTCCCGCCCGTGCCAGGAGACCGTAAATGCAACCACGACAGCACTCATCGAGCTGGGACACCGAGGAGGTGATATGTGACGATGCAGCAGGCTAAAGGATGCTAAAGGGAGGACCAATTTGTCAGCAACCCATGAGAAACAACATAAAAGGTACAATCTAACTTTATTTTAATAATGTCATGCCACAACATTGTTGTGATCCCAACTGCCTGTTGCTGCTTGCATTAACAGATGGTCCTGAGTCCTCCATATGTCTCTCTTGCTGGGAGGATCGGTGTCTCCAAACTGCGCCTGACCCAACTGGCTTGTTGACTGCCGATCTCGAGCCCTAAGGTTTGTGCCAAGCTGCTGGACGCGTCAGGGAAGCCGTTGATTTGGGGCCGGGGGGCCCAGAGGCCAAGAGTGTTAAATGGGCGACGTCCCGGAAGGTTTGCGCCGGAGTGATTCTGAGGCAGAGTTGGGGTGCCTTATGAAAAGAAGTGAGATGTCAAACATAGGGTGGAATCGTTTCGACCGGTGTCCATGTGCCAACTTGCTGCCTCGAGCGAGAGCTGTGTCGCTGATTCAGGTGATTTTTTGGGGTTCAAGACAAGACATCAAATGTCCTTCCCCGCAAGGAAGCCCCACAATGGTTTGGAAGATGGTCTCCCAGCTTGACCCTTTAACCATCTTAAATTATAACTATTGTTGTATTCAAGAAGGCCTGTGGGGCGACGCCTCCTTCGTTTCTGAGTGCAAAGCTCATGCTTTCCCAACACATTTTTTGACACATCATTGTGAACGTCAACCCGAGTTCCAGGCTGGGTGTCCACGCAGGTCGACACCTCGTCGGCATGTGTCGACGCATCTCAACACAGTTCTTTCGATAAATAATCAATGAATCATGTATAAGTCTTAGATTGACAAATGACGGACATGTCTTTGACACGCATGTGCTGCGCAACAACTAAGATTGTTCAAAAGAAGGTCGACACAAGTCGACACGCATTATGTTTGAACAAGATATGAGTTTTGGAGATAAGCTGACATGACACAACGACAGATTTTGTGAACACAGTTCTGGGCCCTTTTGTAGAGCTGATCAAGCCACCGGATTTTTGAACCCAACAAACTTGACACTTCAACCGTACCTTGTCCCCATTCTTGAGGGGGCTTGACAAAGCTGGGCCCTTCTGCTCGCTTGCAGGTGAAGGAGACTTCTGGGAGATCACCAGTCAGAAACGCTTTCAGTGGGATGGTCGGACCGTGACCTGTTTGAGCCAGAAATGAGTGGGACAGGGCCCGCGCCAGCATCCATGCAGCAGCGTCAGAGCCAAGTCGCTCGTGGAATGCCCCAGCTGATTCTCGTCCAGTCTGTCCATGTCTGTCCTCTCAAGCATGAGCATAGCCCTGGGAGTCCAAGACGATTCATACAAACCATACTAAAAACATCCTGTAGGTGACCCGACAAGGAATTTATGTTACTTCGGTGGGGCAACAAACACATATATAGTTATATAAACAGTCTTCGGACTTGACGGGGTAAGTCCAAGGCTGTGCCAAGTCCGTGACACATGGTGTCACACGGTTCACTTTTTATGGCTGAACTTGGAACCTCTGGTGTGCCTGGTCACTGAGTCATGGATGACTATGGATGACTTAAAGAGATTCTTGTTTTGTGTGCTTTTGGGGGATGACTTGGAGACTTTGACCATCTTTGACACCTGCAGCTGCCCCATGTCCGATGCTCATTGCCTGGCGCCCGCCCGCTGGCGGCGCTGATTCGGGCGCGCCCGGTGCGCAGCCCGAATCGCCGCGGGTGCTGCGGCCAGTGGTCCACGGCCAAGTGTTCTGGCTCTCTGGGACTATTGCCTCATGACAGAATGGTGATTGTTAAGCTTTTGATTGCTTTTGGGTGGGTGGGTTTTGTGAACACATGCGTGCTGGGAGCTTTTTGGTTACTAGGAACTTCATGATCTGATCTTGCTGCCAGCATCCCAGATGCCTAGGTTTTTGCAAGGACACCACAGGCAGTGGCTTCAAGTGTTGTCTACTTCCCATTTATTGACCGACCCTTTGACGAGGTGACACACCGTCTTGGCGCTTCGGTGGGCGGTTTGGTGTGTTTCTAAACTGGTGTTCTCCACCAGGGAGTGGACGGATGACGGTAGGTTCTTGAAACATTCTCCATGCGATGTGGATCCGTTTTGGGTGGGTTTTGGCACCTGAGCGGATCCGGAGGGTCTTCCGGAGGGTCATGCTCAGGCCTTCTTCGGGTGCACCGTGCCCACCGCACGGTGCGTGCGGCGCACACGGCGCACCGGACCGCGGGGCTCGCAGAGGCCGCGCGGCGTCTGGATGAGGTTGACAAGTTCCACCACAGCATAATCAGCACTACAACAAGAGGCTATAACACGTATTTAATTAGTAGCAGTCCGGTAGAGGACCATTTTGGAATCCTGTTTGCTTTGTGCTTTATCAGGCGGGGGTTGTTGTTAAGCATTGTTGGGAACTGGGGGAGGATGTGCTTGATGTGGTGTGACGTCCATCTTAGGCCAACGGCTGACATCCCCTGCATTGATTTGGATGGCCTGACTTGGCTGCCCAAAGGCCTCGATCGTTTCAGTTGATCGAGCTTGACATGTCTTCTCTTGACAGACACCTTCGGTATTGTGATTGGCAAATTGTTTGAAAGGCATGCCAGGCAGCATGAAAAGTCAGATTCTGTATATATATATATATATAACCTCTCTTTTTTTTTTTGGGGGGGGGGTGTTCATGTAGCCATCGACATTCCTCTATTCTTTGCGACCCAGTCTTCTGCTTGATGCACAGCCGCGGCTCAAGAAGACAGACAAAGCATCCGCTCTTGAAGCCGTCTCAGTTCATGGACCCATCGGCTTGAAGACCAAAAACGTCTGAGGGCTCCAGGCTCCAACATCGGTTTCTTTGGAACACAGTCGAGGTGAAGGTCTGCACCGCCGATTCAGGCTTGTGGAGGCCATCGCTATTAGGTTGGAGACCATGGCTCTTAATTAGGGTGGAGACCATGGCTTTTTTTGAAAGAAAGACCTATAGTGCTGTGCACTATGATAGAAGATTATACTTTTTTTTGTAAATAGAAGATCTCATTTTTCCTATAAACCGGAAGGTTTCAAATAGAAGGGCATTTCCGGGCGTATGCAAATAGAAGGTCATAAAAAAGACAGCTTAGTTTTTGGTCGTTGTGAATAAGAGTACTGTTTGTGCTTTGAATCTCTACTTGTCCTTACATATCTTCGTTCTATGTGCATTTGTTTCGAAGTGTGTGCTGTCATTCTTTTTGTAGAAACCTCATGTTCTTCCGCAGGTTAAACAAAAATCATCCGTCGCGGCCAAGCAAGGGGGTCTTTGGTGTTTTCCCTTTCCTGGTTTGTCACTGTCAATTCCGTCCTTTTAATTCCTCTTGATTTTTTCTGATGTCCTTTTGATTCCTTTTTAAATTCCTGTTAAATTCCTTTCTATTCCTTTTGAATTCTTTTTGGTTCCTTTTTGATTCCCTTTTGATTTCCTTTTGATTTCCTGTTGATTCCTTTGGATCCCTTTTGATTTCCTCGTCAATGTCCTGTTGATTTCCTTTTGATCCCTTTTGATTTTCTTTTGACTTCCTTTTGATTTGCTTTTGATTCTTTTGGATTTCCCTTTGATTCCTTTTGGTTTCCTCTTGGCCCTCAGTCGCTGAGCTTACCACGTGATGCACCTTTTTTCATTTCATCCCCGTCGGCTCCAGATAGAATATATTGCAGGACCCCTGCAAATAAACTGTGCATCAAAATATTCAATAATATATATATATCTTCCAGTTACCCCTGGCCGGTGCAAATAGAATATAGACCTAGGTACATTTCTTCTATAATAGCGCACGGCACTATAAGCCTTTGCCCTTGTAGACGTGTGCCCGGTTGTGCCCGCCATGGATTAGCCTGGCAGCCATGGAGGGATTCGTGACTCCTGCCAACAACAAGGGGGTCACAGTGCGATGGAAGGTTTGCTTTCCCAAAAAGCCTAACCCTTAGTTGCTCGGGCACAGGAGCCTAAAAAGCAAGAACGCATCCCGAGCAACAAAGCCAATGTATCGGGGGCCATGCGAAGGCCTTCACTTGACACATCCGCAGCCATGAATGGCAGTGTGAAGCAACTAAGGTCCGACCTGATCATCAGCGTCCGGAGCTTCGAGAAGTTCTTGGCAGAAGCTTTGCTGGACTTCGTCAGGGAAAACAAGAGCCTCGAGAAGGAGAGCCTCAAGAAACGGTGCAAGCAGAGACTTGGTACCCTCGATGATGTGTTGATGTTGGGCTTTGGGCTTTCTTGCTGGGCGACTTCAACTTCCCTCCCCCCAACACGAACCCGAACCCGAACCAGTACTAATCCGACCCGTGTCCTCCACCGAGGAAGCTGCAGGAGCTGCGCGGAGCCGCTCCGGAGGACGCTGCCAGCGATCCGGACAGCCCGGTGCTCGTCGAGACGCCGCCCGCGGGCGCGTCCGACCGCGGTTCCAGCGGTGGGACCGGCAAGCGGGTTCGGTGCGGGGGTCCGGGGCCACCGGGACCGGACGGAGACTTGGGCCGCGAAGAGGCGGCCAAGGTGATGAAGAAACTCTCCACGCTGGAGTGCTTCATTTGCTTCAGCCCCTTCAGTGACGGACAGGAGAATGGGGACAAGGGACAGGGATTTCAGTCTGCGGTGAACTCGTATGTCAGTCCGGCCTTGGGAGTATTTGTCCAACAAACCGAACCTGGGCCGGTCATTATTTTTATGCCGTCAGGGTTTGTCCTGAATCCTGATTTGGACACCACAACCACAGAAGGTTTAGAATTATCTCACCTGTCCAGGCCTGATTTGGTTCACCAACCCAGCGGCCCTCTCCTTAGCTGCTAGGTCGTCACAGCTTCCTGCAGCAATCTGGTCATTCATGGTCGAACTCGGAGAGCCTCCCATCCAACTAGTGCGGCTGCCGTGGTCGGAAATCCAACCAGTGCGGCTGCTGTGGTTGGAAACTCACATCTGGGAGATCCCATTTAATTTGTAAGCTTTGCCTGGTCTTTTCACAAAGCCCCGTCTTCAATATCTTCAAATATATAGTGGTCTCCCGTCTTCAGACACTGAAGGAACCGGCTTTTTGCTTTTGCGAAATGCGACACCGTGTGACCCGCAAAGCGACAGAAGCGACACACATCACCTGCCATGTTGAAAAGCGGCACACACCAATGCGCCGCTACTCGAATTGCATCTAAATGTCCGTCAGGAAAGTTGTGCCTTTCTTCAACACCAAAAGGCAGCAGTTCTTTTACAACACTTTGAACGTGTTTTCGGCCACATGGCCCACGAACCCACGAAACCAGACCCGCTCCAGTTTCCCCAGGAGCCCATGCTCAGCGGAGAATGTGGTCACACCATTGGCTGCCGCACCTGTGCGCAGGCCCTTTTTCGGGGGCGCTCTGCTGCAGAGTGTCCCATCTGCCGAAGGCCCTTCAGGCAGCAGCAGATCGTGAAGAACTTCAGCCTTCTGGAGACCGTGGCCGGGTCCTGCTTAGGATGATGAAGGTCATTTCCCACGGTTGTATTGCAATTTTTGGGGCTGTTTTCGGATTTGGCCGCAGGTGTTTCTGGGCACCGAACTTGTCACCAGGAAAGACCTGTTGGAGGATCCAGGCATAAACAGATATATATATATATAGACATAAACGATCTCTTTTCCTCCCTTGCTCTCTCCCTCCCATTCTATAAGTCTATATATTTTTTGGGTGAGCCCCTTCCGCAATGCTTTTTTCTCCAGATTTCTTCAGCAAATCCAAGGTCCGGGATCTCCAAAAGCACAGCGGCGCAGTCGTGCAGTCCCAGCCACCAGAGGAAGAGCCGAAGCCAAAGCTACCAGCGAAGCTGAGTGACATAGTGTGTGATAGGGAGGAGTTCCTTCAAAGATCCCAGAGACTTCCAATCGCCGGAGTTGCTTCAACTCCAGCTCCTGCTCCAGCTCCAGCACCAGTGCCAGTCAGGCCAGTGATCACTCGGCCTGTCCGCCCGCTCGGGCAGATGGCCCTTGGTCCACCGGTCAGCCATGAGGAGGTAGTGCATTTAGAGGTGCCACATGACGTTCGCATCCTGCAACGAATGGAGGACAAACGCCGGGAGCTTCAAAGAAGCTTGGCAGTGCCGTGCTGTGCCGAACAGGCATCATCAGGCCATTTTGTGAACACTTCGGTCAAGGGAATTAGAATA